GCGGGTCTCCATTCCTCTTCAAAAAGGGGTACAGTTTAGTTCCATTTCCTTCTCAGCAACTTTCTGAGAAATGATTTTTAAATGCCCAGCGTGATCTTCTTTTTACATTTATTTGTTAGATATTAGAAGATCAGAAGAACTTTCCTTGTTAAAGCCTTCTGGTGACTGTTTTAAAAAGAAGAAGAAAAAAGACAAGACTAACAGGGAGCCCGTAATTGAGGACGTCTTGAACCTGGAGAGCTCTCCGACAATCTCAGGGCCACCAGGTAAGATTCCAGACAGGTACTTTGTTGTTTTACTTCATTCTTAAAGCCAAGAGTTTCTTAAATTTCTAAACCCCAGGCATTGTCCTCCCCTCTGCTCTGTCTTTCTCTTCTCCCTCCCTCCTCTGTCCCCCAAACAAAGACTAACCTTGCAGGAGTCCTGTGGTGAAGAAAGAATACACAACTAGTTTTGGAACAAACAGAATTTTTTTGACAAGCTGTGTTTTATAGCTCATTATTTTAATTGCATGTATTGCGTTTCTGATGAATTAAAAACCTTAGTAGAACTGGCTGTGAGTTTGAGGAGGAAAACACATTATTTGGATCCCTCAAATATACTTCTGTTTTCCTGGTTCTATCTTCATGTGACTCTTGTATGAATTCGATTTAAAGTTTGCACCACTAGACATGTAACAGGAGAACAGGTAAAAATGATTTTTCTTTTATATAAAAATATAAAAAGCTAACTTGCCTGCAACACCTGAGAGTTTTCTAACACCTGAGGTGTATAGTAGTTTCCAGTGCAAAGAAGAAAGGGAATTATTTGCATTTTTCCAATGCAAATTATAGCCAGATGATATATAAACCATCAATTAGCTGGATTCTTAAAATTGGCAAGTACTGCTATTTCTTTAAGGAATTTGCCCAAAATACAGCCTATACGTGCATTCTGTGAGACCTCCGGTTCTCTACTAGTGTAAAAACTCGCTGCTAGAACAGAGGAATTTTGAATTGTTGAGAAGGAGAATCCAACATCTGTCTGGATTGACTGTGGAAGCTCTTACAGCCTATCAGTTTCCATGTTTTGGGTTTTTTTTTTAAAATATATCTTTATTGATTTCAGAGAGAGGAAGGGAGAGGGAGAGAGAGAGAGATAGAAACACCAATGATGAGAGAGTCATTGATCAGCTGCCTCCTGCACGCCCCCGACTAGCGGATCCTGCTTGCAGCCCGGGCATGTGCCCGGACCGGGAATCGAACTGCAATCTCCTGGATCATAGACTGATGCTCAGCCTCTGAGCCACGCCAACTGGGCCAGTTTCCACATTTTTCATAGCTAAATACTCGGGCAAGAGCTTTACCTGTATATAACTTCTCCCCCATCAGTCATGACTTGTTTGATTTTTTTTTTTTTAAAGTATGTCTTTATTGATTTCAGAGAGAGACAGGGAAAGGGAGAGAGAGAAACATCAATGATGAAAGTCATTGATTGGCTGCCTCCTGCACGCCCCCTACTGGGGATCTAGAAGGCAACCCGGGCATGTGCCCTGACCGGGAATCAAACCTCCCTCTCCTGGATCCCAGGTCGATGCTCAACCGCTGAGCCATGCTGGCCGGGCATNTTGCCCCCGACTAGGGATCTAGCAGGCAACCCGGGCATGTGCCCTGACCGGGAATCAGACCTCCATCTCCTGGATCCTAGGTCGATGCTCAACCGCTGAGNTCTAGAAGGCAACCCGGGCATGTGCCCTGACCGGGAATCAAACCTCCCTCTCCTGGATCCCAGGTCGATGCTCAACCGCTGAGCCATGCTGGCCGGGCATCATCTGATTATTTTTTAAATGCTACAAATATTTAAATTCAAAACCCGTTTTAGTGTCAGCAGTCTTCCTACTTACTTTTCCAAAGATTCCTGCTCCCTGAATCTCATACCCTCGTGTGGGCTCCCCTTTGCCTTCCAGTAAGTCCTGGCTTGTACAGTAAAACCATGACGCCCACGTACGACCCCGTCAACGGCACACCAGTGTCGTCCACCATGACTTGGTTCAGCGACAGCCCTCTGACCGAACAAAACTGCAGCATCCTCGCCTTCAGCCAACCCCCGCAGTCACCCGAGGCGCTGGCTGACATGTACCAGGCCCGGTCGCTGGTCGATAAAGCCAAGCTTAACGCAGGGTAAGGACACGGCCCCGCTGCTTCTCGTGGGCTGATGCTGATACGGTGAGGGAGACGCCGCAGAGGTGGGGAGGGTGCTTAATGTCTAAGGCAGGGTGCCTGGGGGTCGCACCCAGTTAGCGAAAGTCAGTACTGATTTTAGCACCAAAAGAGAAAAAATGCGACCTTTGGTCACTTCAATACGTACAAAGTGTGACAACCTTTCTGTGTCTGGGTAGCCCAGCGGTTTACCATATGTGAATGCTAATTCTTCACCCCTACATGTGTGCAAAGTGTACTTTATGGGATGTCAAGCAGTTTATAAGTCGGTTGGTCCCCAAAAGTCAGACGGAAACCCAAGGTGGCCACCCGCCCGCAAGGCCTTGTTAACATTCTCTCTTCCGACGTTCTGATGAGTGATTCCTTCTGCTTCGCTTCAAGTGGGCTCCAAAAATACGCTCAAACTATTTATTAAACCACTAGTTCCTTTCACTCCCCGTACGCCAAATAAAGTCAGATTTGTGGACAGCATCGCACTCCCTGTGATACCTGGTGCCGGCAGCTGTCTCTGTCCTTCTGCGTCCTTGTACCCATCCCCCATGGTGCACATGGACTCTTTCTGTCGCTGCCCCAGGACCCTTCTCCTCTCCTCCTGCTCTACAGGTCAGTCCCTGCTTGTCCTTTAGGGCCCAGCCACAGACTCCCTCCTTCACAGATGTCACCGTTCAAGCAAGACCAGTCACTTCTCCATAGTTCTGTCCTCATACTCCACTTGTTCCAGTGTCACTTTGTTCCTTTATTAGGAGGCTTGGTCTCCCCCACTGGACTGTCAAGCCCTGTAGGATGGAGATTGCCTCTTAGGGGCTAATATAGCAGAAATTCAAGCCATTTTCATTCAGTGGTACTGGATGACTTTCACGCCCATCTGGTTTTGTTGTTAACTTTTAATCTCCACCCCTCCACCTCTCACCATTACCTGTTTTGTGTTTTTTTTTTTCCAATCCTAGGACTATACTATCCAGTATAGGAGCAACTAGCCATGTGCAGATATTTATATCTAAATTTGAATTTAATTAAAATTAAAACCTGGTACTAGCCACATGTGGCTAGTGGCTACTCTATTGGACAGGGCCATATAGAATATTGTTGTAATTACAGAAAGTTCTAGACAGTGAGATAGAGCCAGCTCTGGGTTGGACCACCCGGTGTGGAGGAGAGGCCGTGCGGGCACTCAGCAAGAATAGATGCGCATTCTGGCTCCACCACAAGGCACGTGACCTTAAGCACATCACTTGATGTCACTGAGACAGTTTATTCATCTATAAAACTGAGAAAATAAAAACTGCTCTGGCTGCTTCAGTGGGTTACTTTAAAGTATCAATGAGAAAAAATTCACACACACACATATAGTACTGAGAAAGCCATAAGATAAAATATAGATGGAAGCTATCCTCAAGTCCTCTCCCTTACTGGTTTTGGGTCCATATTACTTACTCAGACTTTGTTCAAGGAGATGTGTGTACATAATATAAACACATATGTAACGTATATATTACATGATGCACATACTGTATATAGCATGCAAGCATATCTGCTACTGTAATATATATGTACAAAACTGATAGACTTTTCTAACTCACCCCCTTGTTTTCTAGGTGGCTGGACTCCTCACGCTCCCTCATGGAACAGGGCATCCAGGAAGATGAGCAGCTGCTGCTACGATTTAAATACTACACTTTCTTTGACTTGAATCCCAAAGTAAGATATTCTTTCTCTATTCTCTCTCTCCCTTTTTGAAAATGTGAATCCATGGAAGTGTAAAATTGAGTGATTTAGTTACCAGCGTTAGGATTAATTTATATAATCTTCTGTTTAGCTCGGCAGAGTTAGACCAGTAAATGTATTCTGCGCTCTGACTTTCCTCTTTTGGGTCCTAGCGAGCACGGTCAGCTGCCCCCGAGAGACTGGGAGTCTCTCGGGGTCTTCGTGCCCAGCAAGGTGCATGCCGCCCCCTCCATTCACAGGAATGAAGGAACAAGAGGAGAGCAGCTCGCGGGGCCAGAGTCCTTAGTGCTTAGGAAGGAAGGCGTCGGGCCCAGGATCAGAGCAGGTTCTCAGGAAAACACCAGGACCCCTTGAGGGCACGCAGCAGACTCCCCACCGCGGTGCTGACAGTCCTTGGTGATGAGAAGGAGGGATCATCTATGTAAATAAAGACCCAGCTAGTCGCCAGGTCCCAGTTGAGGTGCACGTCTCCCACCTGAAGTTCACTGGGACAGCTGAGTCCTCTCCCTGCCCCTGAGTGGCCCTTTTGTGCAACTGTGAGACAGCAGATAAGTGGCCAAATGCAGGGAGTATAAACCGGGCCACGGCTTCTCTGAGGTCCCAGGGCAGTTTCATCGCATTGCTCCGTCCAGTCTTGTGCTTGGTGTTGCGCCGTCTAGGTACTTGGTGCTGGGCGCTTGTCCGACGGGCTTGCTCAGGCCACCCCTTCTGTGCAGACCCTTTTCTCACCCACAGCCGCGTTACGGCCTCATGGCAGTCCTCTCCTCGGTCCTGATTTTAGGTCTGGTCCTCAAAGGCCCATCTCCGTTCCCACTGCTTCCCTAGCGGGCGTCTTTCTCATAATAAGCCTTCTCCTTTGTCACTCCTGTGGGGCTCCTGCTCAGTCTTTGTTTGGCTCCAGCTTCACGCCCATGGACCTAGCTTGTGTCTGGGGTGCATGACTTCCAGTGAATCACAGCAAAGAGCAATTGGGGGCTCTTCTTTGGGAAAACCCTCAGGAGAAATTATTGTACTGCTTCTTTTGAATAATCGTCTTTATTTTTTTAAGGGCACTGTGAATTATCTAATTGCCCAGGTTTCCTTTTTTTGCATTGTCTGCTAGAACCAAATTTGTACATTTTCTGTGATTTCACTTTTGAAGCCTCACTCCTGACTCAACTTCTCTCATTCCCTTTGTTTAATTCCTAGTCAATTTACGCTACCTTGTTGTAGGCTATATATTATTTTTTTCACTTACAGTTGATATTCAATATTATTTTATATTAGTTTCAGTTGTACCACATAATGGTTAGACATTTATATAATTTGCATAGCAATCCTCCTGATAAGTCTAGTACCCACCTGGGACCATACATAGTTATTACAATATTATGCTATATGTTTTTTTAAATGCCTTAAATTTTTTTTCTGAAACTAAGTAAAACATACTCATGAATTTTCTAATTGCTAAATAAGTAAGTTGGCCCAATCGTATCTATTCTAACTTGTACTTCTGTTTAATTATTCATTTATTTATTGAGCAACTGCTATGTGCCAAAATCTAAGCTAGCATCTTAAGAACCCAAAACTGCTGGATGTGAGAATAACGTTTTCAAATTAATGAACTAAAATACATAGGATTACAAAATGAAACCATTATATTGAATTATTGTAACCAAAGTCTTTTTTTAAATGAAAATTTTCTGCCTGGCAAAAAACCATAAACAAAGTAAAATAATCTTTGCAACCCATAAACAAAAAGCTAATTTCCTCTAATATATAAAGAGTTCCTACATATCAATAATAAAAAGACCAACAACCCAGTAGACTAATGAGCAACAACACACATAAACCTCAGAAAACACTTGCAAGCAAGAGCCCAGACGCAAAAGATTTTACATACTGGATGATTCGTTTTTGCTGCTGAGTGGTGTCCCTTTGTGTGGACGGACCATGTTTTGTTTATCCATAGTCGAGGGACACTGGCCGGGTTCCAGGTCTGGGCTATTAGGAATAATGCTGCCGTGAATGTTCTCACGGGGTTGTGTTTTGATTTGTTTGGGGAGGGCTCTGGGGCTGCCCCCGAGGTGTTCCATGTCACCTGGCCAAGTTCACAGCACAAGGACAGATGCCCCTAAGGTTCTTACTACATTTTTCGAGCCTGCTGAGCACCGCACTGGGATTTGCACCGCCCCCCTGTCTGAGAGGCCCCGCTTCCCACCTACCCGAGAGCAGTGCTCTTTGCTGCTCTGGGTTTTCTTTGGATGTTTTACATTCCCTGTCGCCTTTTTTCTTAGTATGCATAAGGTCCCTGCAAAAGGAAAAACTACGCTAATCGGCCCGTGATAAAGCTCAGTAGGCACTCTATCTTTCTCTCCCTCCGTGTTTCCTTTAACCTGTTTATTTTTCTAAGGGATGTGGTGGTAAAATGTATACTCAGTGCCCCCTAGACCCCCCCTGCCCCCCCAAACACACATACCTGTTTCTTGCTCAGTACGACGCTGTCCGGATAAACCAGCTCTATGAACAGGCCAGGTGGGCCATCGTCCTAGAAGACATCGACTGCACGGAGGAAGAAATGTTGATCTTCGCGGCGCTGCAGGTAGGGGAATGTTGGGCCCTTTTCTCTGCGAGGAGACAAAGCAAGTTAGTTCTGCTTCAGTTTCATTTTATTCTACTGGTTCGTCCTTTGAAGAAAGTGCTGAAAATGAGGGGAGTGAATTAAAACTGTAAATGCTCCTCAGACCCACATGTGCGTATCTTGCTTATGTACAGGATGAGTCTTGCAGTTTTTCTGTCTTTCCCACTATGAACTCAGCCAGCGATGGAGAAGAACCGAGTTTGAATGCGACTAACCGTGGATCTCAGCACGGTTCAGATTAAAATGCCATTTTCTCTGCATAGGAGGGAGGTCTCCTTGGAGGAGGTGCTTGGTAGTATGGGGGAGTGTCTCCAAAAAAGAAGAACTGGCCCATGGACTCATCTGTGCTGATAACGTTTCTAAATGCTGTTTCTATCTAGTATCACATTAGCAAGCTGTCGTTGTCGGCTGACATCCAGGACTTTACCAGTGAGTCTGAAGTTGATGAAGTGGAAGCAGCGCTTTCTAATTTGGAAGTGACCCTCGAAGGTGGAAAAGCGGACAATACTCTGGTATGAACTTTTCTGATAACTCTGAACGTGGCTCTGTGCTGACTGACAAGTGTAGGTGACATTTTTTTTATTAGAAACAAGAGAATATTTTGTCTGAATTTGAGAAAAGAAAACACGCTGGTCATTGGACAAGCATAGGCCTAGCCAGAGCTGACTCTCTTTTCCCAGGTTAGCTCTGTAAGGGACTGTAAGATATTTTCATGACCACTAATGACAACACTATTGCATCAGGTTTCTTCTTTGGGATGAGTTGGCATGGTAGGAAAGAAAGACTGCTGAGGACTTCATGTCACTACGTAGGACAGGGAATTGGTTCCTGAAGTCTAGAAAGAAGGGTCCGGCTATTGCACGGGGCAGCTGTGGGAACAGAGGCAAAGCTTTTCAGGTAAATGGTCTTATTACCTACTTACTAGTCACACCTTCCCACTGGGCAAGGTTGACAGCAATGAGGGCCTTTTTCTGGGACATTATAAAAACTTCCTGAACCCTTTGACTGCAGTAAAACATAAAGAAATAATACAGGTTTATCATCTTTTGCCCTTTCCCCATGAAATATGGCTGAATGTCAGCTTTATAATTGGAATGCCCCTCCTGCTTGATTCATTTGTTGGGTGCCACGCTTTTGTTTAACTTCTTCAATCATGGGAGTAGTTTGATCACATTGATTCAGAGAGGTGGGTCCATTGTAATTAGATTTTTTAAAAGTAATAGATAAAAATGAGTCACTGTATTCTTATGTATTTAATATGTTCACTTATGATTAAATTCCTTAAGATAGGAAATTGGTATTGTGCAAAACTAAATACCTGAAATAAACTCAATGCCAAGGTTCTGTAGAGAATTAGAACCTTTTCTCACATTTATGGGAGACAACCGCCCCATGAAACGAGTTCTTTTTTGTCTACTTCCACCACTAAATACATACAGCAGGAAAGTGTTCCTCTTTAGAATAGATGAAAGTGTCCCTCCTCTCGCCCTAAGGATATTTTCATGTCCAGGCTTTGTGATGTCAAACAATAGGCTTTTCAGTTTGAAAACAAACACCAACCTACACTGTAGAGTGAACTTTGAACCAGGTACCTTTCAAGAGTTTAATTAGTAAACTAGATGTACCTAGAGTTACTCACTCTGATGTACAAGTTATAAAATAATTTTGTAAAAGTCGTTTTTAATTCAGATGTTTCACTTGAATGGTACAGGGAGTGCTTGGTCAAATTTTTAATCTCTTTTCCTCATTTCTGTGATATATGACACATACAGAAAAGTGGAAAAAAAACCCACAAAACAAAAATGTACAGCCTACCAAATTAGTATTAAATCATTACCCAAGTCACCACCCAAACCAAGAAACAGAATTGCCAGCCACCACAGAAGCCCCTGCATGTGTCCCACCCCAGGTGCCCCGTCCCACTCCCAACCCTTCCGCACCCCCACCCCCTCACCCCAAGGCAACTGCTGGAGATGTGGCTAGTGTGACTGAGGAACTGAGTTTTTCATTCTATTTAATTGTAATTAATTCAAATTTAAATGGCTACATGTGGTGAGTGCTAGAGTGTTGACCGATGCAGGTATAGAGTGTCAGCACCATGTGTCTGATTACTGCTTATGGAATGTTATCTGTTTTTCCTTAGGAGGACATTACCGATATCCCTAAACTTGCAGATAACCTCAAATTATTTAGGTAAGTCACCCTTAAGGGGAATAGAGTACAGAAGTTTAAACTGAACATCCATTAAGCAACTTCATGGTTCAAAGATGAGAGCATGAGCTTTGGCATCAGACAGACATTCCTGGCTCCACAGCACATGCTAGTTGGGTGACCTTGGGTGTTGTCCTTATGTCTCTGAGCCTCAGTTTCCTGATGTATAAAATGAGGATATACCTCCTCGTGAGTTTGTTGAGAAGAGAGAAGATTAAATAAAATAACGCATGTGAAGCATTGAGCATGGTGCCTGGCTCATAGTACATGCTCAATAAATGGTGGTGTAAACATGGCCAGTGTCAGCAAGAATGAACACGTATGCCAGACTGGAGTTTCCGTTACAGTCCATCTGGGAGTCTCAGGACTCGAACACCATTTCCAGGTTCTTTCCCAGTTTGAGAATCAGTTGTCACTGGAACCTGGATCCTGGGCTTATGGAGAAATAACCTTAGTTATCTACCTTTGCCTGTTAAAGTAGTTCTGATTAACTCCCCTGTCACCTCAGGTCAATCTGAAACTGTTGAAAAGGCAGAGAAGTTTTTTATTTCATGGGAAAAAAAGAACCACCGTGTTTGTGATGGTGCCAAGGTTTGTAAGGATGAAAGGATAAGGTCCCTTTGAAGTCCTATCAGTTGTCTGTCACTTTATGGTTTGTTGACTTTTAACAAACCAACACTTCACTGGCTCAGTTGGCTTGAAAGGAAACAAGCTGCTTTTGATAGTACATGATACAAAGAAAGACTTGGAAAGAATGAACGAGTTAGGTGAGAAACAGGAGTCCAAAGATTACAATTTTTGTCACCGGGTTTCTACAAGTTTGTTTTCTTTTTTAAATGTGATCTTAGGGTCTGGTCTCAAACAGCAGGGCCATTCATTTAACCTCTGGCATAAATAGTTGTAACCGTACATATCGTTACGGGCAGAGCTACAGAAAAGCAGTGGTAATTTGAATCCACAAATACGTCTTCATAAATTATTAATATTTGTCCTACAAAGAAAGTAGGTTGCCCTCTTCTCTGTTCAGAGCAATCCCAGCCCTTCATAAACCACGTGGTGACTATTTCCCTCCTGTAGATATTTTAGATGAAGAGGAAGACCTCCTGGAGGAAAGCCCCACATCCACATCACTGTAGTGGGAGTGATATGTTCACACTCACAAAATCGTTCTCATGTTTGGCCAGTGGGCACTTTATCCATCAAAGGTCTCATGACACCGAACTTAATATATAATGTAGTTCATGAAAGAAGGAAGTGAAGGGGGAAGGAAAAGAGGGAGGAAGCAAAGGCACAGAGACGCGAGGAAGGAGAGTGGAGAATGGGCCTCTGTTCCTAGTGGGCGCGTGACCTTGAATAGGCCCTTCATTTCCCTGGGCCTCCTTATCAGTACAAAAGCATTGAACTAACCCTTTGATTTTCAATGTGTTTTGTGTTTGTTTTTTTAACAGTAAGGCTCTTCCCCCCCCACCCCCC